TACAAAAGATATATATATATAATAACAAAATAAAATTAAGACAGATTATAATAAGGTTTCAGGTAATTTTACCAGTAATTTAAATATTATAGAAAACTTAGAGCTAAAAAGAAGTTAATGTTAAAAAAAATTTCGAGCCTTTACCATATATCAATTAATAAAATTCTAAAATACTATCTTAATAATCTCAATAGTTTTTGTTTAAAAATATAAAATAAACTCTATTTACCTTTAGGTACGTTAACAGAATGGAAATGGGCTGTTTATTTTTGCTTTAAAAACTTTATTTCTAATGATGAGGAAAATTTAAAAAACGATAACGATTCAACATCTCTTTTTTTTAAAATTGATCAATCAATTAAGCAACTACAAAGATATTTTGTAATAATAATATATAAAGCGAATAAATAAAGCGAACAATAACTATGCAATATTTTGCAAAAAAAAAAAAATTATTCCAATTTAAATTTTTAAATAATTAGTTAAATAATAGTAAAAGTTTTAGGCTTTGTAATTCAAATAATGATAACATCTTTCAAAAAATTTTAGCTTTCCATAAGAGGTAAAAAAATAAAGCTAATGATTATAATACTATAAATAATACAATTTAAAAATACACTTTAATAATACAGCTTCCGTACCTAATAATCAGTTCAAAAATGTCATAAAATTCCAATTAAATTTAGATCAATCATTTGTGGGTCTAATTCTTGCCTAACTGAACCTGGTACCATTTTCCCTACTTAAATAAAATTATTAACAATATTATTAAATAAGGGTTTTCTTTGATTATCACAAATAATAACCAATAGTACAATTCATTAAACAAAATAAGTTTTACTTTTGATTTCCTAGACATTTTTAATAGCATTCTCCTTTCTAAGCTAAAAGATGTTCTTTTGAGTTATTACTATAATTATGAGAATATTCTTTATTGTGATTTTGATTATTCAGAAATTCTAATCAATTTTTCTCTTTTTAATAAATATATTTACAACGGAAAAAATATTTTTGTTCAAATTGATGGAATACCACAAGGATCTAATTATTCATACTCATTATTTTTACACTATTATGAAAAAAAATTACACTTTAAATTTTTAATATGTTTTCAGATTTATTGAGGATTTAAATATCTTCAATCTATAAAATTAACAATTTTGCTTAATATTATTTCCCCCGACGAATTAATCTTGCTTCATAATCATGGCGATAATATTAAATAAATTTTTTTGGATTTAAATATTAAGAAAGAAAGAAATATCTGCGTTGTTAATTTATACGATAAAGAAATGATTTTAAATTTAATATAAATAAACTAATTACATAGAATTCTAATAGTTCTAAAATCATTTATTTAAATACCATTTTTAATCAAATGAATGTAATGAACAGAATTTGTGGTAATGTTTATTTATAGAAGAAACAAATAGACGAACGCTTCCAAAATGCAATAGAAAACAATGGCTATTCAACTAGTGTAATTATATTCTGTATGAAATCGTTGAGTTAATTATATAGTAAAAATTTTCCTTGTTAACTAAATTTATATTCCTACCATGTGCAAATCCAATGCGGAAAAATCCGGGGCAGAAAATCTTCTAATATTAATATCGAATTTTTTTAAATCATATTTTAAATATTTTTTTTCAAATAATATTTTTAAATATTTTTTTTCAAATAATATTTTTAAATATTTTTTTTAAAAATAAATGTTAATAATTTCTCTAAATTCAACCTTATAAATATTAAAATTTTATCAATGAAATTCCACCTTGTTAATTTTATTTTATTTCATAGCCATCATTGAACAACCGATCCATTTCATGGGTTCATGACTACTAATGATCAACTCGACTACTTATGTTCGATTAATAATGATCAACTCGACTACTTATGTTCGACTACTAATGTTCAACTCAGTAGCCCTGTAATTTTGAACCCTATCTAGAAGACAAGGAAACTCCCGGATCAAGTATTGGGAGAAATTTGCCTTCATGGAGGACTTTTGATTAAACAAACCCTCGTGGAACTAAACTTTGGTGGAACTAACTTTGCGTCACATGGCGACAACGTTATTAATTATAAACTAATTATTACCTCTCGCACATCCAGATTCTTGCCAATACAAGGTAACTAACAAATCAAAAGCGCTTGTGTACTTCAGTAAGAACGCGACGTTAGTTGATTTCCTTCATTCGGTATTTAAGTTTCTATTTTCATATTTTGTAATCTGACAAACTTGTCACGAAAACATTTAAAATCATTTTTGAAAAATGTCTGTAAGTAAAGTACTTTTGAATTCGCTACTCACTATATGTATTACATTTTGAGTTTTATTCTGAATTTTCTTGACTTTTTATTTTCTATTTTTGCTTGATTGTTTCATGTTGCAGTTTTTCATTTTTCGTATAAATTTTTTTCTTAATGAGTTCTATTTTCATGTCAATTTTTTGGTGCTTCTGACACTATTGTATTGACATGCTTTACTTCAGCTATATTAATGCAATACTAGAAAGTACTATTTTTTCGGATATAGACGTGAGAGCTGAGGACGAGATCATACGTTTTCTTTATTTCATGTTTTTTTCCAATATATTTTTTCTTAGTTTAAAAGTTCTTAAATTTGTGAATAATTTTTAAAAATATTTTTTAATAATTTTTTCTTCTTTAAAAAATCATTATAACTTTTCCCCTTGATTTACTTATATTTTTGACTTATTTTAGGAGTTCTATTATGTACTTTTCTTAATTTTCTTCTTTAATCATTCTTTTCCTTTATCCTTTTTGTCTTTATGTTATATATAAATATAAAACCCAATGACATTTCTTAATTACATTATTGAACATATGCACTAAATGAAAACATGTAAAAATTTGACTTTTAAGTTAGTCTGTGTAACTTTATCTTTTCAGCAATATTGTGTTCAAATGTTAATTATTTAACCCGTGATATTGTTATAATAAATGTATAATATAAGCCATAAAGTAACTAAGTTTAGTGACACTGAATAATATCAATAATTTGTACTAAAAAGATAAACTATTTCATTAGAGTTTAAACAGCGAAAATATTTTGAATTATAAACTACCAAGTCTTCTTTTAAATGTTTTCCTTCTGCATTCAGAAGAGTAGTATATTTAATTAATCCGTTAAGAGATCGTTTTATCCATTTGCAATTACGAATTAGAAATGTATCAAATATTTGAACGTGGCGTCTAGAATAATTTATTAAGCGAGAAGACTTTGCAGGCAAAGTGATCTTACTTTTATTTTAAAAAAATAAATTCATGATTGCTCATTTTAATAGCGAATTTATTTTTCCTCAAAAACGCAAAATATTTGAACCAATTAAAATTGTATCTTATACAGTATATTGAAACATGGACATATTTAAATTTTTGTTTAATGCATTCATTTTATTTGAGTTTGAAACTGTTATGCTCAGTAATATATATTTATGTTTGTAAAATAGATGAAGTCAAACAGATGAATGTGAAATCAATCAATAATAATTTATTTATTTTAAAAAAAGTGTTATCTTTAATGCTTACAACGATCGCAATTTCAGCTCTTAAGGGTCAACTTTAATATTTCAGTAGTTTTATTCAAATTAACTAAATATTAAATGTCTATTAATTGACTTACAGTATCAGACACAAACATGCAAATTTTCTGAAAAAGTATATAATTTCCAACGAAGTTAGATTTTTGACTACAAAAACGTTTGGGGAATGTTGAAATGTAGAAAATATTGCAAAATATTTTGGTATTTTGATGGTAAGATATTTTGGCATTTTGAAGTGCAAAAATCTGAATTCATTGATAAAAAAGTATGTTCATGCAGAGAAAGTGTGTTTTTATACTTGATTTAATTTTTAAAATGGTCTGAACTTATAAATTAGCGCACTTATAATCTGCTTTTTGAAACATTTAAGTTTTCATGATCTTTCTACTGAATTGAAACATCGGATAAAAAAATATTTCCATTGTCCAACTTCTTTTTTTTTTATATTAAACAAATCAATTCTTATTCCCTTGTTATGCTCTTAAAAAGATTGTGCTGTGAATTACAATTCCTCCAGTTACATAGAAGATTCATTTGAAAAAAATGTATTATGATTCATTTCAGAGTGAGTAAGTTTTGAATCTTCATTACTCAGTGCTCCAATAGTCACCTATATTTAAACACCATACAAAAGAGGTTTTAAACCGTTACCTATTATTTAGAATTTTTATAAATTAGTACTTTGTAACAAATAAATAAGAAACAATTAGCACGATACCAAACAATTTAAATTTAAAATTAGTACTTTCAGTCAAACAAACTCTTAAATTAGTATTTTAAGAAATTATAAAAACTAATATAGTACTTTTAAAAATAAATTGATTTTAAATTATTTCCTTCATAAAGCAAAAAGTTTTAAAATCTTACATTCCTAAAGTAATAATCAGAACTTGAGTTTCCTCTAAATAATTGAACTCAAAAACCAATTAATGAATCTTCAATAATTAAACTATTTTTTCCATTTTGCTACTTTTTGATTGTTTAATTTTGTTTGTACTATGGCTTGTGCCAGTTATTTATGTTCGAATTGAACTTTCTCTTTGGTGAAATAACTATGCAATCAAGCTTAGTGTTTCGACAAAATAAAAAGATAGTGCTTTCACAAAACAATAAACTCTAAATAAGTTGCAAAAAATAATAGGTGTTAATAATACCTTCATCTTTTCTGAATCACAAATTTCGAAATCAATTCACTATAATTTTGTTATTTTGTAAAAAAAAAATCTTTTTGTTTGAAATAGTTAAACAAATGTACAATATTTTATTTTCTTCCAGATGTATTTTCCATGATTGTCCAGAAAGGCAAGTGAAGACTCGTGCAGTTTTGTAAACTATGCGGAGCGGTCTTCACCAGTACATCAGTATTCTTCATATTCTTCTCCTGATAACTCCTTTTGTAAACTCGAGTAATTATTTTTTTTTGGATTATTACAATCATTATTTAATTTATTTGTTAATGCTTAATTGTATACAAGATAAGGTGGTTAAATTAATTATATTATCGATTTAGTAAAACCCAATTAAGTATGTTTATGATGAAATATTCAAATTTAGCGATAATCGTAATATTTTTATATAAAATATAGGTTATTCATCTTGAAACTTGTATTTATTATCAGAACCGATTCCTTAAAGCACAGCTGACGTTGACAAACGATTGTCTGATAAATAATTTATTTTCAATCTGAGTAGCAAATAAATGTCTAAGTGACAGATAATTTTTAAATTAAGTGAAATATGAAATTATGCGCATTTTATTTACTATTTCAGTGATTAAGATTGCTTAAATGGCACACATATTCAATCTGAGTGAGAGATTGCATTATGTACGATTAGCATTAATTTTTTATTCTAAGTGATCAGGATTGTTTGAATGGCACACAATTTTTATTTGAGTAAAATATAACATTATGTTTGATTAACATTTTATTTTAAATCTGAATGATAAGGATCTTTTCAATGACATTTTCTATGCGTGTGAAATATGATGCTATGTAAGATTTTCCTTTTATTTATATATGAAAGATAAGGATTGTTTTATAGGCATAATTTTCTTTATCTGAGTGATATGACTATGTGTCTGACTTTTAGTTTATTTTCTATATGTTATATGATTTCTATATAAGTCACAAATAAACGTTTGGCAAATTCCTATTTTATTAAAAAAACGGAATAAAATCAATTTTTTAATAATTACATTATGTAAGGACATTAACTCTTGGAAGTAAAAGTTCTTTTAAGACACTTTACTTACTTCTAATAAAGTTTATTGCTCAATTAAATCTTCTTTTATTAATTACTACAAGCTATGAACACCCTTAATTCGAAAAATATCATTAGTAGTTAAGATAATAATTTCTAACTTATAAGACTCAAATTTACAGTTTTATATAGATCACCTTGTCTATTTTGGAAATTCCTACTTTTCAGTGTATTTCGTTTTGTAACTCGCAAAATATTTTTTCTGCTCATAAAAATTACACACAAACACTCTTACACGTCTTATTTTCATTGTGATCAGTTAAACTACATACGCCAAGTACGTACAGGATACAGTATTTGTGTCATTTTACATATGAACAAATCGGTTTAAATTCAATTGCTTATTTTTATGCTTGGTTAGTGACATATTCTTATAAAAAATCAACTCACTTTAAATCAAGCATTGTTTTCTTTTCAACATTAGTTACAATTGACTGTTCACAATTCAAAAAAAAAAACATCCACAAAAAAAATGACAAATCTAGATATATAGTTTTTCTCAAATTTTATGAAACTCAATTTTCAACATAAATTGTAGTTTACAGGTAATAAACAGAATAAATTTTTTAAGGAAGAAAGTGATGGGTAAGAGATAAAGCTATTATTTTCTAAAAGAGTATTAACTTCTGTTAAAATAACACAAAATGAGCTTCAAGAAAGACAAAATGTGATTTATTTGTTTTCTCTTGACCTAAGAAAATAGTTGAAAGCAAGAGCTTAGTACGCCGTCTTTGGTTTGTGGTTTTATTATTTTATGTTACCGGAAATGATTAAAAAAGGAGTAACGATTTAATATATCCCACAGCACTGGTGCTGCTTTTCTTGTGCGAGCGTATTCTTTTTAATTTGTTACATGTATTTAAAGACTATTTTTTTAGTACTAAAGATTTAGAGCATATAATATTTTGAAAAATGTGAAATTTCATACTAAGGCAGATGCTATCTTACTTTTTTTTTTTTGCAAATTTAATTACTTGAAATTAATATGACAGAATGCTGCACCTTGGACCAAAGTAAAAACTTTCACTCTCAGCACATAAATTTTGTTTTTTCAGTTAGCTTACGTTGCTTATGCTTCAAACGAAAAGTACTGTCGGCTGTATTGTGTGTGTCGAGAGATTTTTTTATTTTTCGAATGCTTAGTAGTATTTTAATCAGTATTATCTGAAAATATATCCTTATAAATATAACATTAGAAAACATAAATATCGAATTGTTATTCTCTTTAAGACGGCACACCATTTTTTAATACTTATTTCCGTTAGGCTTAACAAAATCGACAAAAACTGTTGGCAATTTTTACTTTAGACTTGTCCAAAGAATGAGCAAAATGTTCAGTTTGCACAATTACAATTCTTTGTGGACTATGACACTAAATGCAGGTAAAAATACAGTTTCAGTAAAATTATAAATGTTTAGAGTATTCCAATAAAAAATCTTAAAAATTACGTTACGACTTAGCTCATACAGTCAACACGAAACATAAGTTTCAAGTGCCTTATCAAAATATCAAAATTTTATATTATAAAAAAAAATGCTTTCTATGGAGTAATTTGAGTTCCTCCCAATGTTCCAAGTTGCAATGTGTGGTGGATTAAGGTACGCAACATTTTACTAATTTTTATTTTTGAATTAAAGTTTGGCAAATGAGGCGTTCGTTCGTGTTCTGTGTAAAAGTCAAGCCAATGTATATTGCACCATTGAGTACTTTTAGCTCTAAATCACGGAAGAAAACTCGGCCATGTGGATTATTTCGTAGCTAGTTTGTCAGCTGAATTATTTTATCATTTTATAAAATGAAATCCAAACGCAACCAGCTGAAATAAAATATTTAAGAAAAAATTGCATCATAAAACGTTGTTAAAAACAATCTCAATTAACCGAATATTCAAACCGTGAACAATTATTTAACGTTAGCGTTACACGTAAATGTTAAACTGTTTGCGACAAATAATGCTATGTTTGGGCAATAGGCGCATCCACTTTCGTTAATTCACAGTACATCATTTATAGGGAAAACAGAAACTTGCCAAATTCATTATATTTCATCATTTTTCCCTATAATTCCCTTCAGAAACATAAACTGGAGAGTCTCAGTGAGATTAAATTCACGATAAAATCCTTTGCCAAGTGGATAAATTTGGACAGATTTCACTCGGCTCTTCGTGGCTACTTTCGTTTCCCAGCAGTCATAAAATTCGGAAATGAGTAGAAAAGTGACTCTCAACGCGTCATCCTCAGTCATAAAAATAAATTAATGACTTTTGGGACTATTAGGGCCATCTGGTTATCCTCATCGAATAACCGAGTTTCAACAAGTCATATTGACGTAAGATAAAAATGGTAACTTCACTTGGGATATAAAATCAAAAATATTTCATATAAATCAAACAAGTGTAAGAATATTTAAATTATATGTAATAAGTTTATTTATTTTGGTTAATATTTATGAAATAAATTAAATTAAAAGCATGATATACACATTTTTGGAATAAAAAAATTTGCTTATTGTAATATTAATCAAAATAAGACATTAGATAAAGGTGGTAACTTCGCTAGGGATATAAAATCGAGAACATTTAATATAAATTAAACACGTGTAAGGATATTGACATTAATTGCAATATATACATTTTTTGGGAGTTAATTTTTATAATATAACCAAAATTAAAAGCATGATTTACATAATTGAATAATAAAAGACTATTGCTTATTTCATATTAATAATAATATTAATAAAAAAAATTTCTTTTATTCTTCCAAACTAGATACCAAAATTGATGCCATTATTCATTGAAATGTGGATATTTTATTTTTGAAATGTGGATATTAGTATTCACGATACAAAAATATAAATGTTTAGAGATTTAGTTTTTCTGTAAGATGTGCGCTAATTAACACTTCTATAAATAAATTAATTAAAAAATCTACATAGGCTAAAAGCGCAATCCATTCCAGCTTTGTTGTCTTTCTAACTAAAGGATTCGAAGTTTTGGCATTGCATTATAAAACAGAAATAATACCTAGAAAATAGGGCAAAAAATTAAATTTATCATTTAAAGCATATTTTATTAGATATGTTGTTCTCATATCAAAACACAAATTTAATAATTTTTTTTAAAAATTATTACCATAATGCCAATAATAATATGTTTCCCTACAGCTAAAATTTATGCTATTAAAGAAATCACTCATTGATATACCCCAATTCAACACTATGCAAGGTAAACAGAAAACACAAATTTCAATATATAAGTAATTATCCATATTTTTAAAAAAAATATTTTTGCACTTTATTGAAGGGAAATTACGCGGCAAGAAAAAAATCAATTTCTGGGAAGCTTGATATCTGTATTCATTATATCATTTATTTATTTACCTAATGAAACTATATAAAAATGCATAAATAAAATGATCTTGATAAAGTTCTGACATTTATTTATTTAATTGAGCATTCATTCTTGCAATTTGTTGCTGAAGAAAAAACTTTTTTATTTTCCTTTTTACCGTAAGGCATCTCAGAAGTTTAAAGTCAAGATACATGCAACATGTAAATGCAAAACGTGCATTTCTATAATTTAAGAAGTAAAAACAAATATTAAAAAATATAATTTTTCATATCTATCTATATCTATATCTAACTATCTATCTATCTATCTATCTATCTATCTATCTATCTATCTATCTATCTATCTCTCTATCTATCTNTCAATTATACTATCTATCTATCTATATATATATATATATATATATATATTTGGTATGTTAAATTCTGAGGCATTCCACTTATAGTCAAAATACGGAAATAATTGTACTGTTACCTCTAAAATTTAGGTTTAAGCTTCCCAGTGATCAATATAGTAACTTTGGTAACAGTGTTATCCAGGCTCAAAAAAAAGTCAATCAAAGAATTATTTGCAACATTAAACATTTACAAAGAATTTTATGGATACTAAATATACCAAACAAAACGCCAAACTAAAATCATTTCCAAATGCTATTACATAGATATCACATATGTACACTTAGTTACTTCAGGTTTAAAATTTGGCAATACGAAATTATATTTTCAATGAAATGCAATTAAAAATGTAAGGATCAATATTCTAATATTCCAAATCCTGTAAAAACTGTTAAAAATAAT